ACAATAACAAACCGTTAGGGTATCAAAATTGTTCTTACATAAATAGTAACTTGTTATCATCAAAACTCAAAAGTATAGATGCAGAACCAAATCTTGTTCTAACAAAAGGATCATAATCCGAATCATTTCCATCTTTACTATAAAAGTCTAAATTAGCAGTGGGGATAAAAATAGTCTGTGAGGTAGTCATCAGTGGTGAACCATGTTGCTGCGTGTTGGAAATAGGTTGAATAGGCATATGTGTTAATGGTTTTGTATGGTTGACGTTCTCATTGTAGTGTGTCATACAATGTACGATGTTGGATATAAGTTTTATTGGCGACAATGTAATTGGTGGCGGTTGGTGTACAATGTGAGGGCTGTAAAATTCAATTATACTAAGAAAATACCAATCAGTAACATAAATGTATTATACTGATTATATATGTATAAAAATCAGTTAAGCGGTATATGAAACTTACAAGTGTGTGTTTGGAGAGTAACAATTGATGTTGTCATTATAGTCTGGTGAACCCTGGAAGTTGTGATGTAACCTTCACCATGAAAGTAGGTAACCCAAGGGCTTTAAGCGGACGTTGTTTAATCAATTCTTCAGGTTTGCTTGGACTATGACAAGATTAAGCAAACATTACAGAAATAGAAAGAGTTAATGATGTGGACTAAAGTGAAGATAATATTAAGTATGTTGATTTTATAAATTATTGACAAATATCTAATCATGAAAAAATTATATGTATACCACAGGACGACCAACTTACATATTCATATGTGAAGAAGATCCAATTTCAAATGTTCCTTGTGGGTAAAGTATAGTATTGACATCACTCTGTAACTTTCTTGGGCAGCCACGATCTTGTTTGCATTGTACCATATTAGAGGGGACTTCTGAGTTGCCATCTGCCAAAAACTTATCCATTAGATTTGTCCCTAAAGCTTAAACATTATAACACTTCTTTTGTGCCCTAAAACCATGGTAGCTTTGCCGAGGTTGTGAATTTTCAAGCATAACATTTAGTGCTCTTTCTTCAGCAACCACTTGGTCAACAGATTTTTGGTTACTCATGGATGGTATAATATCAGCAAGGGGCCTCCTTAAAAATTTGATAGTTAGTATAAACATGGTATGATCCATAGCATTTGAAATATGATAATTTGGTGCTTGTACGTTGATACTTATGGGATTTGGCAATTGACATGTAGCTTTGAGACGTTTGGAGTGTTTTTGTTTTTGTAGTATTATTCTTCGTGCTCACGCTCTCTTAGGAGCTATGTATGAAGTTTGATCCATGAGAGAAGACCTATATGTTCGATTTATGATGTTAAGTACGAAGTTGTGATAATAAGTCACTCAATAAGTTGATAGACAATCTCAATGTCTGTCATTGTGAATCATTTAAGACAATGCCAATGAAAATGGATTTGTTGTTAAATGGTAATAGGAACATGGTGTAAAAATACAAAAACAAATTGAAAGTATGCAATATGCTGTCAAAAAGTGCTGACGAATACCATTAACCAAATCTAGTATCAATGGTTGACAAAGCATAGTTGTGTCGAAGTGCAAACCAAATTAAGTATCAATGGGACACATAGCATTGTTTACTCAAATTTCAAACCAAATCGAGGATCAATTGAGCACATAACATTGTTGAGTTCAAGTGCAAACCAAAATCGAGTATCAATGAAACACATATCATTGTTAACTCGAAGTACAAACTAAATCAATTTTGTAAGAAGTGTGTACATAATTGAGTGAACTATTGCATAATCCTGCTCAATAGGGTAAATTGGTTAACAAAAACAACATTATGCAGATAACAAAAGATAAACTGGATAAACAACATTATGCAAATCATTCTCACTAAGGTTGAAATATCATTATGGCAAAAATAACATTATCCAAGTCATTCTATGTCCTTGCACAATTGGGGAGAAAGATCAAATATCGTCACCAGAAATTTTTGATTGCAAATGAGGTAGGTTAACTGGTGTTGAAATGTGTAGGTGAAATTGTACCAAATCTTGATAATAAACACTGCAAATTTAGCACAACAAATTAGTGCAGCAACAAATGTTGTACTCAAATAAAAATTTTGATACATGTAAAAAAAATGCTATGAATTGGCATTAGTTGCACCATTATCTCTCTATTCCTCAATAACTTAGGATTGAATATATGTGACTCAACAAATTGCTACAGTTACATGCATTGAATATACAAAACATAAGTAGGGAAACAAAGTTATAAAATGCTGCAACTTCATGAACGTATCTGCAGAATGAGGACTTGCTGCTTCATGGCAGTTTGAAGATTCCTCAATGCAAATAGTGAATAAATATTATTTACAGCAGGTATATAATTTTTATAGCAGGTAAGTTTGATCAGTAAAATGTTACAGCAGGTATGACTTGCAAGAGTAATTTGTTTAATTGAGCAAATACAAGAATATTTGTCCTAACTAATATTGTTTGAATAGTTGTTTCTAAACAATGTAGTTCTAAACAAAATGAACTACATGTTATAGCTATCATCTAGTCCATCGAAGACTGTCCTAGGTCTGCAAGTTTGATCAACATTATTGGAAGTAGGCAATTTATCATCCATCTACTTGAAAAATGTTGACAAATTTTGTTCAAGTTATAAAATGCAAAGTCAACCTTAACATGTTGACGTGAGCATGAACAACGTTTGCATTAAATTACAAATCTCAAGGAAAGCATGAACGAAATTTATCTTGCATCTATTAGTGTAATACAACAAATAATAGAATAGGTAATGCAAACTTGTCTAAAGTGTATTGTTGACAACAACATATTTCAAAATGGTAATGTATATTGTGCATATCTCAATACAAAACAATATATAATGCATATTCTGAAAGTAAGAGTTGGAAATCGTGGCTTTCTAGTACTGCTACAATGTGAGGCTAAATATAAATATATATTGAAAAAGCAATTGATTTGTTGGGTTAAATTTGCATATGGATGAATAACTCATCATCAAATTTGAAAGGAGTTGTGTGTATGAAATTTTGATAATCATTAGCCATTTACATATGGATGAATAACACCATGTTTATCATGTTTATCAGTTATATATTATTAAGTTTATCGGTTATACATTATTAAGACAAGGGTCTGTTCGGTTGAAGATTTTTGAAGAGAAGGGGAGAAAATATTTTAAATTAAAGTATTTTATTTGAGAAGGAGATGGGAAGGGAGGGGAAGGAATTTAAATCTCTCCTGAAATAATTTTTCGTTTATGTCAAATTGGAGGGTTTGAAAGAGAGAGAAGAGTTGTAATAAAATATATTTTTGTTATTTTGAAAAAATTATTCTTATTTTTTTATTATAATCCTAAATTTTACTTAATAACTATTATATGTTAATTTGTCACATTATTAAAATTTCTCCATATTTTTTAAATACAATTTCGTTATTTCTATTTCTCTAAATCAACTTTTTTTCTTTTTTCACGTGTTTTATTTTATTTTATTTTTATTTATTATTTTGTTTGTGATCTGACCTGATCAGAAGGGGATCACGGACTGGCCACTCGCTGTTGGACTGTTATCTGTTCGCCGATGATGATGAGGAGGAGGGGGGTGTACCTGCGAAACACTCCGATGCCAAAGTAAGAAATTGGACAGAGTGAGAGCAAAGTACAGAAAGGACAAGATGTGAATTACCTGACCCTCTTGAGGAAGAGGGTATTTATAGAGAGACCCCAACGCTGGGCCAACGGTCACTTGCGTTGGACTGGATTGCCAGGCCCAACCCAGGTGACTGCTAGGGCTTACGTGGCGTAGTGAAGACCAGGACGTGGTCTTCACCCTAGTCCAACTGCTCCTTGATCTCCGGAAAGTGGGTTTTACCTGCTCTTTCGGAGGTGGACAGTTGGTTGATGACGTGTCCCCGCATAGGGGGGCACGTGGAGAACGTGCGCCTGACACGTTGTCCTCCCCGCGGAGGGGTACACGCAAGGACGCGGAAGAGCCATGTGGTCTTTGCTCGATGGACCGGGGGTGCCCTGTTCGACCGAAAAGGGGGCGTTGAAGACGCTACGGGACGTGCCGTCCCCGCGCCCTGCCCGTCCTATGAGGGTGTGCCCGGTCAGGCTAGTCCGCTTAACGGGTCTTGTGCGTTATTGGGCTGGACCGCGAGGCTGGACCCAGACCAGAACAGTTTGTAATAATTTAATTTTTTTTTTTATAAATTCTTGTGTTATATTACGTATCGATATATAATTGTAGTATATGAATTATATATTATTTAGAATTTAATTTCATAAATTATTTATAAGATTAGATGAATCGTCAATATGAGAAAATGATTGGTTTCAAGATTGATCATATACTGATTCTATGACATTTATCAATATTTTATATAACAACTTTAATATATTTCAGAGTATTTGAAATATTAAATATTTTATGTTTGAATATCTATGTTGTTTATGAATTAACAAATTTCGTTTTTTGATAAATATCATTTCATATTTATTTTATTTAGAAGGAGTGCTAGAATATTTTAAAGGTAAAAATGTAAAGTAGTTTTAAAATTCCTTCTATCTCTTTATGAATCAAACATATTTTTGATTAAAACTTTGTATTTCCCTTTTCTTTTCTTTTGAACCAAATTTACATTTAATTAAAATATACCTCCTCCTCTTTTAAATCAAATATACATTTAATTAAAATATTTCTCCTCCTCTCTTTATTAAAATTTCTCTCCTTTTCTTTCTTCCTTTGAATCAAACGACTCTAAAAGTACTATTAAAAAAATCATTACTATATATAAAATTGACAAAAATATTATATTTAAAAGATTATAAATATGAAAAGTGAGTACCATAGGCACATAGGAGAGTATAATTTTTTGGAATCATTCAATTCAATATAAGATTCCTAACTAATCAAATATTCTCATCGTTAATTACGACTGCCTCACTCTGTTTCTATCATCACGAACCCTCCCAAAAATCTCTCCTTCTCAATACTATGGAGTTTCATTCTCTTCCCAATCTCTTCCTTCTTCTCTCCTTCTCAATCCTCTTCCTCTCATCTCTTCACGTTCAAGCTAAAGTTACTTTCAAATATTGCGGTACTTTTATCCCTCAATCTCTCTCTCTCTCTCTCTCTCTCTCTCTCTCTCTTGAATTTTCAATCTCTATTAGTATTATTTTAATTATTAGGTATTAATCTTGATCAATTTTAATTTGATTCGGTTGATTTGATTAGAAATTTATACAATTGAGTTTTCGGTGCAATTTGCAGTAGTTTATTGTAGATAGGTTTTAGTAGTTCATGTAATCGTGTATGTTTGTTCAGATTTGATTTAGATTATTATCGTATTTTTATCTGTGTAGATAAGAAGGAAGATTATCCTGTCAAGGTGACTGGAATTGAAATATTACCAAACCCTGTCGTCAGTGGCAATCCAGCCAATTTTAAGATCTCAGCTATCTCTGGTAATCTCTCTCCTTTCCTTCACATTTATCTACTTTTTACTCTTTTCAAATTTAGTAGTTGATTTATGTCACAGTGATTCAACAAAGTTTTACGTTGGCTGTCCACTGCCTAACACTATCCGGGCTTGGGACCGGCTATGCATAGAAGAACTAACATAGGCAGAATTAAGAAAGATCTTAAGATTAACGGGCTGGATAGTAGTATGGTCCTTGATAGAGCATTATGGAGGAAGTTGATCCACGTAACCGAATCCACTTAGTGAGATAAGGGATAAAGCTCTGTTGTTGTTGTTGTTAGGGTTTTCAAATTCCCATTTTTTTGTTTGGATAGTTGTATTTTAACTTTTACAAATAATATTTTGACACACAATATCAAGATGGAATTTCAACATCAATTTAACTGATTATCGTACTTCAAATATGTGGTTAATCGTGTTTTAGTTCATGGTTAATTAATATAACAAAGTGACGCAGCTCATTAGCCATCAAATGAAAACAATTAAACATGATTTTGACGGCTGTTTAATTATCTTAGTTGTGTTCAAGTGTACATGATTTTCATGGATTCAAATGTACATAATATTCATTAACCATGTTTCCTCGTCTCAATATACACTTGAAAGTTGTGGTTAATGACAATTAAAAGCGAAGTTAAATCTGTTCGATTGATAGTTAATGAGTTGTGGCATCGTTCTATATTTATTAACCATCCACTTAACGTAATTAATCACCAATTCAATGTCAATTTTGGGTATCAAAATAACACAACACTTTTAAACCACAGTCATAGTCTTTGATGTTGTGAGAAATTGTTATCAAATGTGGCTGGTGTGGCCTTGAAATCTTTGATTATGTGGGAAATTGTGGTCAAATGCAGCTAATGTGTCCTAAATCATACTGTGTCTGATGCTGTGATGCATATGCAGGCATCAAAAACCTTAGATAGTAGTCACTGACGTTTCTTTTTGTTTAAATTATAACACTGATTTTGATGTGTTGATTACATGATCTCAACATTACATTACATTCATTCTAAGTTATTCTTAGATATTTACTTTACATGCTTACGTTAAATTGTTTTTAAGTACGTATAAACATAATATTTCATCTAAACAACTCTTGTTTGCAAAATCTGTGGAAGATTTGAACAACATATCATTTATATCCTCACTCACTCTATTTGTTCCTCGTCAATCTATAGTGCCACTTATCTATTTTATATTTTTACTGAATTGAATGGAATATCTATTTATTCGTCATGCAGGTAAGGCTCTTTATGGTGGAGATGTGGTAATTGGAGTTTCCTATGTTGGTGTGCCTGTCCATACTGAAACCATTGATCTGTGTCAGGAAGTATCTTGTCCCGTTGCTAATGGAAATTTTGTGATTTCTCACACCCAAACATTGCCTTCAATTACTCCACCGGTTAGTTCCACTTTATCAAATAAACACTTAATAATGCCTAAGGTTTTCAATAAATATCTTCCCATATTGAAACAAAACTTCCTTTGATATCTTTTTGGATCCCTTGAGCTGTGACACCTAAACTCATTCTGGCATTAAAAACTTTATATAACTCTGTTTTAGTGCTAAATTTATGGCTGTGCCATGGAGTTTGTGGCAGAGCTTAAAATAGCCGATTTTTGGTTTTAGTGCTAAATTTATGGCTGTGCCATGGATTGGAACTTTGAGTGAATCAATTATTTGTTCTGTTTGTGTAAATTTTGTTAAGATTAATATTTTGATATTTATTTTTAATTAAATTAAGTATTGCAGCACATTAGTATGTGTCAGCTTATTATTAGCTATTTTATTGTTTCAGTCAAAGTCAGTTCCTAGATTTTAGGAAGGAATAGACTGTTCCTCATATAATGGGCAGTTAGGGAGATCGTGTGATATTGTGTAAGCCTATTTATTGGCCTTTTCTTATTCAATTAAGTAACTTTTCAGCATTTGATTCTAACATCTGGTATCAAGAGCAGAAAGTTTCACAAGAAACAAAGAGAGAAAGAGCAGATGGCATCTGAAGGCAGCGATCATTTTAATCTACCATCAATTCCTAAATTTGATGGTGATTATGATCACTGGAGCATGCTCATGGAGAACCTTCTCAGTTGGAAGGAGTATTGGATTGTTGTGACCACAGGCCTCGTTCAACCCGCTGCAGGAGAAGCGCCGACGACTGCACAGAGAAAGACAACGGAAGAGATGCAGTTGAAGGACCTGAAGGCCAAGAATTACTTGTTTCAATCTCTTGACAAGTCAATTCTAAAGACGATCCCAAAGAAGGAAACATCGAAGCAAATATGGGATTCAATGAAGATGAAATACCAGGGCAATGTTCGAGTTCAGCGAGCCCAACTCAATCGATTGCGCAAAGAGTTTGAGATCCTTGCCATGAAGCAAGGAGAATCAATCAATGATTACTTCGGTAGGGTAATGGTGATTGTAAACGATATGAGGAATTGCGGGGAAGATATGACTGATGTCAAGGTCGTCGAGAAGATTTTGAGAACCCTCATTGAAAAGTGGAATTATATTGTGTTCCATTGAGGAAGCCAAAGATATGGACGAGCTTACTGTCGACGAGCTGCAAAGCTCCCTTGTGCACGAGCAAAAATTTAGGAAGGAAGTAGATGAAGAGCAAGCACTCACGGTGGCATACGGTGAGAACAATGGTGGAAAAGGACGAGGCAGCCGAGGAGCTTTCAGAGGAGGAAGGGGAAGAGGAGGCAAAGGCCGGCAACCATTGAATTTTATAAGTGCCGCCATCAGTTGGGTCACTTTCAATATGAGTGTCCAAATATGGCTAAACAAGCAAATTACACTGAAATTGAAGAAATCGAGGAGATGTTGCTCATGGCGTATCATGAATCATTTGGGCAAAGCAAAACTGATGTGTGGTTTCTAGATTCAGGATGTAGCAATCACATGTGCGGAGACCCGTCATTATTTAATCGGTTGGAAGATGGATTTCAAAGAACAATGCGGCTGGGGAATCATATGCAGTTAAATGTGGTTGGTAAAGGTAGTGTCAGGCTATACTTTCGAGGCATTAGTCATCTTGTTCAGGATATCTTCTAGGTTCCAGAACTAAGGAATAATCTTCTTAGCCTTGGACAACTGCTAGGAAAAGGATTAACCGTGGTGATGAAGGATAATAATTGCTGCATTTACCACTCAACAAAAGGCCTCATCCTTCAGAGCAACATGACCTCCAACCGTATGTTTGTTGTGCTTTCTGATAAGCACTCTGACAAGGACACAAAAGAAGTCTGTCCGCAGTTCACAACCCAAGATTCGGTACAGCTTTGGCATCGGAGATTTGGTCATCTCGGTTACACAGGATTGCGGATGTTGAAAGACAAAGAGATGGTGAAAGGGATGTCGAGTCTTCTTGGATTTGATTCCATCTGCACAGATTGTCTGAAAGGAAAACAACATAGAGAACATATTCCAAAAAAAAGCATACGGCGTGCCTCAAGTAAGTTGGAATTAATCCATGCTGACATCTGCGGACCCGTTTCACCAGCTTCAAATGGCCAAAAGAGGTATTTGCTTTGTTCCATTGATGACTTTAGTAGGAAAGCATGGGTCTATTTCCTTGCATATAAAGCTGATGCATTTGCTACCTTTAAGCAATTTAAGAGTAGTGTTGAAAAGGAGTCTAGTTGTCTATTAAGTGCTTAAGAACAGATTGGGGAGGAGAATTTACATCAAGTGCTTTCCATGATTATTGTAAAGATAATGGAATCAAGAGACAACTAACCACAACTTACACACCGCAACAAAACAGAGTAGCCGAGAGGAAGAACAAAACAGTGATGAACATGGTAAGAAGTATGATGGTTGATATTCCTAAGAGTTTTTGGCCTGAAGCTGCGAGTTGGGTGTTCTATGTGCTTAACAGAAGTCCAACTTCTTTTGTGAAGGACATGATACCTATGGAAGCTTGGACTTCTTTTGTGAAGGACATGATACCTATGGAAGCTTGGAGTGGGATAAAGTCGTCTGTAGAACATTTTAGGGTGTTTGGTTGTATAGGACACGTACATGTGCCTGACGCCAAACGCACTAAACTTGAGAATAAGAGCAGAAGTTGTGTACTGTTTGGGTTTAGTTCAGAATCAAAAGGCTACAGGCTATTTGATCCCATAAGCAAGAAAATCATTGTTAGTCGGGATGTTGTGTTTGAAGAAGAGAGAAAGTGGAGTTGGGATAAGAGTTATGACAACTTGATAAGTCTTGATCTGAACTGGGGAGATGACATAAATGAAGGAGATATTGGGACTCAAGTTGTGGGAGAAGTTGAGACTCAAGATGTTACCAATGAAGATTCTGATGTTATTATAGAAACTGTCACTGAAGAAGATAAAACAAGCATAGACGAAGAGGGAAGTGGTAAAGAAAACACTATGGCAGTGGCTGCGTCATCTCCTGAAGCCTCAAATACAAGGGAAGGAGATTGTGTCAGAAGGACAAGTCGTATCAGAAGGAGACCGGTGTGGATGAGAGACTATAATGTCAATAATGAAGCTGAAATTACCGTCAATGATGAAGCCCAAACTGCTGAAGCAAGTTAAGATCACACTTCACATTTAGCCTTATTCATAGAATGTGATCCTATTAGCTATGAAGAAGCTGCTAAGAGCCAAGAATGGAGAAATGCTATGAATTCAGAAATTCAATCCATTGAGAAGAATGAAGCTTGGTTTCTCACTAATCTACCTGAGGGAGCCAAGAGTATAGGAGTCAAATGGGTTTATAAGACTAAATTGAATCAATATGGAGAAGTTGAAAAGTACAAAGCTTGGCTAGTTGCAAAAGGATATGCACAGGAACACCGAATTGATTATGAGAAAGTATATGCACCAGTCGTTCGGATGGATACCGTGAGAATGATTTTAGCATTGGCAGCTCAGAAAAGTTAGATAATCTATCAGCTAGATGTAAAGTTAGCTTTCTTGCAAGGAGAACTCTCCGAAGAAGTGTACGTGGACCAGCCAAGAGGGTATGAAATCAAGGGTGCAGAAAGAAAAATGTACAAGCTTCATAAGGCCCTATATGGATTGAAGCAGACACCACTGTTGCGGTGAAAATCGGATATCAAGCTATTGAATTAACTTGAACCTTAATTCTTTTACAACCGGACTTTAATTTATCCAAAGGAAAGGTATAAAGAAAGAAAGAACCTTTTGCGCGATGTTACAACAACGCTAAGAGATTCGGGGATCGGGGGTTGGTTATGCATAGGGTAGGTATTTCACATCCTAAACATCTGTAGTACTCTACAGGAACCTTTTGTTTGTTTGTATGCTAAGTTTGTTAAATATTTGCTAAGGTTTGGGTATTGGGTAAAAAGGTGGAGGTTATGATAGATGAAGACCTAAGATTGTTTCTAAGTTTGCTCGCAAAGACATTGTGTCCTCTGCCTACGTATCCTAACTAGGATAGAATCAGAGCAATCGTAGTTCACCTCACTAGGGTTGAAGAACGCTTGATTGTGATCAAGGTTCAAAGGGGAACAAACATAATAATGTTTGTGTAGAGTTTCACAAAACTCTCTATGTCTATGATGTAACACTCAAAGGGGGAAGTAAGTGATCATATCCATGATCCTTACATAGAGTTAACAACTCTATCCTAGGGTTCTAGTTGTAAACACTCCTAGTGAGGGGGAAGGTTGTTCGTCAAGATATCGCATCTTGTGCCTACGTATTCTCATTGTCCAATGAGAAATCAGAGCGGTCGTAGTTCGGGCTCGAACTAAGGAATCAATTGGTTCTTTCCAGACCAAAAGAGGGGAAAGTTCTATCCAAACCTATGAGTTTATATCCTATTGGTTCTATCCAGACCAAAAAGGAGGTTAAGGCTCTTTCGAGGCCTATGAGGGTATTGAGCTATCTATGACCCAGGGGTCAATAGAGAGACTTTCCTTTGGAAGGGAGGAGATGAGGCAACTTGGATGAGAACTAAAAAAGTTCCATCACTTGGGGAAGAAATAATTAACAAAGTAATCAATACTTTAAACAAAAGGGGCATGGTTACAACCAAAGATCATGTATCTTAACAAAGATGAAAGCATATCTTAACAAAGATTAAAGGTATATCTTAACAAAGATTGAAGGTAACAACCACATGTATCGATGACAATCAAATACAAGCAAATTAGTTTAACCTCATAATTTAGGAGGAAAGTAATATGAAATCATGGTAACAACCAAAGAAGAGTACCCTAGCATGTTAACTAACATGGGAGGTTGAGAATGAGTGAATATCATAACACAAATGATCATGGTGAAAAAGAAATTCATCTACATACGCGAGATAACGATCTCAATATAAAGGAAACTTGAAAGCAACCAAAAGGCATGAAAATTTGAACAAACATGGAATTTTTAAAAATATCACATGAAAGTAGGCATCAAGACAAACACAATGCAAAAAGAATGGGTTCAAAATGCTTAAAGATGAGTGAGTTATGAATTTTCAAAGATTGGATGAACAAAACATGAAAATCTAAATGATAAAAGGAATAAAATGCACATGGTAAGACAATGAATCAAACAAATTTGATTATTTAAACATGTTAACAAAAATTTAAGAATAATACAAGATCAATCTCACAAGAAAAATCAAGTTACAAGTTGAAAATTTTCAAGATCATCATGGTAAAAAAAACAGTCATGGTAACATGTGGAATGCAAGTGGAAAGTTCACATTTATGAGTTTTAGGTTTACCTCTTGAAGCAAGCTTAAGCAATAAGAAAACCAGAGATCTTGAGAGCTCTTCCAAGATCTTGTTACGTAAGTGTGCAAGTGACTTGGATAGCTTCAATACATCATACTTTATGTGTTTGAAGTGTTTCTTGAGTTGGAAGAAGTTTGGAAATGGTTTTGAAAGGTGTTTTTCAAAAGCAAATTTTGAGGGATTTTGGAAACTTAATGAGATTTTGTAAGAACTTGTGATTGTGTAAGGAAGAAAGTTCTAGCTGGTTTCTAGCATGGAACTTGTGTGTTTTTGATGTAGTAAGTGAGTTCTATTTATAGCCATAGGCCTTGGATCAAGGTATGGGCAAAAGTGAAGCAAATTGTCAATTTTAACCTTCCATCATGAAAATCTTTAAGTTTTCCAATGAAATCTTCACCTTTATCTTTAAGACACTCTAATAAGATATTCTCCATGCCCCATAGATTTTTTTCATCATGCTTGATAGGTTAGGAGGTGACTTGTTGAATTAAAGCTGATGATTTGACAAGGGTAGCCACCTTTTTTCTCTTTCTTCACTATTCACTTTTACAACTTGCAATAAATAATGATTTCCTTTGATCTTTGGTCCATTTTCGTGGGAATTGATGTTAAACATGTTTATTAACAATGTAAACATCATAAATGAGGCTTAGTTTTTGATTAACATCGATTTGGAGAGGTTTTGGAATAAAAAAAAACTCATGTTGACCTGGTTTTGCCAATGTGTTTTTGCCAACTTGTGAACCTCGGTTCTCTCTAACCAGGAAGAGTTATGGAACCCACTTGTACTTTTTAGAAAGCCCCAATTAGGTACTACAATATTTATGCTTGTGTTAGGAACTCATTCCTCTTGAAACTAGGTCAAAAACCCTTGTGTGGTTAAGGAGTTATGACTTTGCCCTTTTCAAAACCTTGATTTCCCAACTTTTTGATTACTCCTCAATCCTTGATCCGATGGCCATGAAATTTTATGGGGAGGTGTAATATGACATAAGGAACATTTTTGATTCACATCATGAAGTCCAATTCCTTAAGATTGAAGAGTTGACTTTTCGGTCAACCGTACGATCGATCGATGACTATCGGACTGTCTGTTCTTGTTTCGGGACTTCCAAGACCTTGAAACTCTTTGAGGGGACTTCACTAAGCCTTATAAACTTGTTGGACCAAATTTGCATCATTGAACCTTCCTTTAAATCCAAAGTCAAACTACGGTTGACTTTTCCTGCTCGAAAACCTTAATCGGGTACCCTGAACTACACTGTGCTTGATCTGGGGGTGACAACCTCTGACTGGATTAAAACATGACCCAATGTGATATCTTTGACTTTGTTTTGTGGAGAATCAATCCAAAACATTGATTGATCATACTGTCGAAGTCTCGATTTTTGACGGTGCGGAACCCTAATTCGCATGTATCTTGACAAAGACAACTTGAAATAGGTTATGGTCAGATAATCAAACGAATATGACCCTAAAATGATGATGAGGATCTAAGGGGTCAAAATTTAGGGTGCAACAACCACGTGCATGGTTCAGCAGGATAGATACTTACTTTTAGAAGATGGGGTTTGTAAAGGATGTCAGGAAGCAAACACTCTTCACAAAATTCAACACACAAGGTAAATGCCTAATTATTAGCTTGTATGTTGATGATTTGGTCTACACTGGTAATGATCAAACTATGATGAATGAGTTTAAAGAATCCATGATGAAAGAGTTCGAAATGACTGACTTGGGAAGAATGAAATACTTCCTGGGAATTGAGGTGTTGCAGCTTGATAATGGAATTTTTATGTGTCAGAAAGTATGTGAAAGAGTTGCTAACAAAATTCAGAATGGAGGAAAGCAACTCTGTCTTAAATCCCATTGTCCTAGGGTCTAAGATTCACATAGATGAAGAAGGTGTGAAGGTAAATATCACACTCTATAAATAGCTTGTAGGAAGCATGATGTATGATACAGCCACTCGGCCAGATGTAATGTATGCTGTTAGTCTGATTAGCAGATACATGTCTATGTCAACTGAACTTCACTTTGCAGCGGCCAAAAGAATTTTAAGTTATTTGTAAGAGACTATTGAATATGAGCTCTTTTACCGGACAGGAGGAAACAGAGAGCTAGTAGGATTCACCGGCAGTGATTACGCTGGATGTGTGGAGGCCAAAAAAAGTACATCCGAGTATACCTTCATTCTCAGTGATGCAGCAGTGGCATGGTCCTTCAAGAAACAACCAATTATTACTCTGAGTACAACTGAAGCAGAATTTGTGGCGGCAACAGCTTGCTCTTGTCAGTTAATATGGATGAAAAAAGTGTTGGGCAAAATTGGCTACGAAGGAAGCAACAACCATGTTATTTTCTATGATAACAACTCAACAATCAAGCTATCAAAAAATCCAGTGATGCACGACAAAAGCAAACACATCGATGTAAGGTTCCACTTCCTACGTGAGCTGGTGAATGAAGGAGCTGTTCAGTTAAGGTTTTGTTAAGGTTTTGTAGCACGCAGCAGTAGGTTGCAGATATATTTACCAAGTCACTCGACACAAGAACCTTCCAGGGACTTAGAAAGAAGCTAGGAGTATGTGATGCACCAAAGTTAAACTGAATTAGACAATTTAGGAGGAGATGTTAAGATTAATATTTTGATATTTATTTTTAATTAAATTAAGTATTGCAGCATATTAGTATGTGTCAGTTTATTGTTAGCTATTTTATTGTTTCAGTCAAAATCAGTTCCTAGATTTTAGGAAGGAATAAACTGCTCCACACATAATGGGCTGTTAGGGAGATCGTGTGATATTGTGTAAGCCTATTTATTGGCCTTTTCTTATTCAATTAAGTAAGTTTTCTTATTCAATTAAGTAAGTTTTCAGCATTTGATTCCAACATCAGAATCTTCGATGACTAAAAAAGTAATTCTTTGTGGGGGTAAAAACTAAACTCAGAAATTTGATAGTGGTTAGTGGTTAGTTTGTGTACTTGCCTTTGGTTGGTATGATTACTGCCGATCATGCTACATCTACTGTATTTATTCTTTGACTATGAAGCACGAACACATACACGTCGACACCGGTTATAATTTGAGAAAATGGTATAATTCAATGTTTACTGAAAATTAAAAAAGTTGTAGGGGAAGCCCTAATAAAACTTGGAAGAGAACATTAAAAAAGACCTTTTCTCTGAATAGTTTTATTGAAAATTTTGCTATGTATTTTTTTAGTCTAATGGCATTGAACATTAATTGATTCATGTATCCACTAGTCTATCCAGTTGAGTAAGGCTTTTTGGTGATTGATTCGGTTTTCCATGTTTTTTTTATCTGGAATTTAAATTTTAAAAATTTGTTTCTGAAAACCTTCATTCAGTTTTTTATTCCTCAACTCCCATGTTTATGGAATATATTTACACAAATGATTACACATGAATTGCCTTATCATGTTATTGGTATTAGAAAATATTTGCTCAACTTTTGCAGGGACCTTATGCTTTGAAGATGACACTGAAGGACGACAAGGGCGATCTGTTAACTTGCATCAGGTTTAATTTTAAAATTGTTTTGGGGTCTCTCGTGTCTGAGATGTGAAGTGTTATCCTGTGCAAGATTGATCTGGATTAGGGTTGCTTTGCTTTGTTATCATGTTTTTTTCCACTGTAAATGTATTGTGTATCACCTTTCAAGAGTCATATCATGACAAGGGCTAATGTTGTCAAATGTTCAATATGGTGAATGATGAATCTTCTTTCCTTTGTGAACTTAGTTTAGAAGTATCATTTCAATAACTCAAATTCACGCATTATGAATTGGAAAATATAAGATCTTCATCATCGTGTGATGATTCTTAGTTCTTGTAACGTCGTGTTTAATAAATATCAAGTGCATTTTCTCATAGCCATTTTACATGATGGCAGGTTCTACTTTTCTTCGTTTTGCAGCAAGTAATAAATCTAAATTTTTTTTGTCATAGAAAACAACTTCTCCTCAATGTGAAATATATTAGACACGCCTTCTAAAATTGGATCATGTGTATATCAGCACCATCAAATATTCGTATGCCAAATTGAAATTAACTATTTTTTATTAAAGATTTATTTTATCAATATTAAAGATTTAGTAACATTTGAATGTCTATATGTATTTAAACTTTAGGGGCATTTAGGGGGCCGTTTGATGGGTAAGAGACAATATCAGGACCATATCTTATCTCAATGGTTGATGACATACAAAATATGATAAACTAATCCTAAAAGTTATTCTATCATGTTTTATTAGTTCAAATTTTTATCCTAAATATGAGCTGGGTTAGAATCAGGATAAAAAAATAATTTACGAATGTACTCTTATAACATATTTTATATAATTTAAAATAAAAAATTAAATATGATAAAATATAAATAAAAATTAATTTGATATTAAATTATAAAATATTAAAAAATAATTTTTTACAAGTATATATATATATATATATATATATATATATATATATATATATATATATATATATATATATATATATATATATATATATATATATATATATATATATATATATATATATATATGTATGTATGTATGTATGTATGTATGTATGTATGTATGTATGTATGTATATATATATATATATATATATATATATATATATATATATATATATATATATATATATATATATATATATATATATATATATATATATATATACATATATATATATATATATATATATATATATATATACATATATATATATATATATATATATAATACATATATATATATATATATATATATATATATATATATATATATATATATATATATATATATATATATACATATATATATATATATATATGTATATATATATATATATATATATGTATATATGTATATATATATATATATATATATATATATATATGTATATATATATATATGTATATATATATATATATATATATATATATATATATATATATATATATATATATATATATATATATATATATATATATATATATATATATATATATATATATATATATATATATATATATATATATGTATATATATGTATATATATATATACTATATATATATATGTATATATATATATATATGTATATATATATATATATATATATATATATATATATACATATATATACATATATATATATATATATATATATATATATATATATATATATATATATATATATATATATATATATATATATATATATATATATATATATATATATATATATATATATATATATATATATATATATATATATATATATATATATATATATATATATATATATATATATATATATATATATATATATATATATATATATATATATATATATATATATAATATATATATATATATATATATATATATATATATATATATATATATATATATATATATATATATATATATATATATATATATATATATATATATATATATATATATATATCTTTTTAAGGATAATTAAAATTGTTTACTAGTGTCAATGAGTTTTTTAATTGTATTTTAAATTATACAAAATTAATAATTAAATTTATAAATTTATAAATTTTATTATTTCTGAAGAATCAATTTGTAAAATTTTATATGAAAAATAGGGATCAATTTGCAATTTATAGGAAAATATAAAATTATTAATTTTAAAATTTACAAATTGATCACTAAAATATTTAAAATTGCAAATTGGTCTCTATTTTTCATGTTTTAAATTTGATCCAAAAATTTTAAATTTTATAAAAATGACCTCAAAATTGTTACAATGTTCATCATTTTAATTTTTCATCCAAACAAAAGATTCTGTTCTGGCCTGGGCCCCGACCTCACCTCGCGGCCCAGCCCAATGATGCACAATAAAAGCCCAATGTGGTTTATGCAGGCTGATCGAGCACGTGCCTCCTCGACGGGCAGGGCATTCCCGTCGAGAAGAACAACGTGCCTCAAGACGTCCTCTACGCTCTCCCCTTCGAGGGGAGACGCTGCCAACCACTATCCCTCGTCGGGCAGAACAACCCTCCGCGGGCAGAATCCCCATGCCAACGAACAGGACAACATGCCTCTCCCACGCCCTCACATGCTCCCCTCTACGGGGAGAACAACACACCTTCGGGGAACCTCGCGAGCTCCCCTCCGCGGGGAGATCAACGTGCCATTAGCACGTTCTCCATGTGCTCCCCTCCGCGGGGACACGTCACCGATCAACTGCGCACCTCCGAAAGAGCAGGTCAAACCCACTTTCCGGAAATCACGGGACAGTTGGACTAGGGCGAAGACCACGTCCTGGTCTTCACTACGCCACGTAAGCCCTAGCAGTCACCTAGGTTGGGCCTGGCAACCCAGCCCAACACAAGTGACCGTTGGCCCAGCGCTGGGGTCTCTCTATAAATACTCTCTTCCACAAGAGGGTCAGATAATTCACTTCTTACCCTTTTCTGTACTTGTGATCACTCTGCCCTTATACTTACTTTGGCATCGGAGTGCCTTGCAGGCACACCCCCTCCTCCTCCTCCTCACCGTGAACAGGCAGCAGCCCAACAGAGCGTGGTCAGCTAGTGATCCTCTTCTGATCAGGTCAGATCAGTGGCGCCGTCTGTGGGAAACTTGAAACTCCCCCGTTCCTCCGAGCAGCGAACCAAAGTTTCATCAACATTCCACGATCATGGCTAGCCCACACCACGACGATGCCGTTCACGACTTCATCCTCACCCCTGCCGCGAACGACAGCAAGCAAACGGAGACGTCCCGTCCTGCGGAGACCGATGAGAGAGACGGCCGAACCGCCTCTCCTTCGTCCGCGGAAGCTGCACACCAGGCTGTCCACCAACCCCGGAGCCCAGCAGCGTTCCAGCCTGTCCCTGTCCCGGCCAGAGCGGACCCGACTATGGCCGCCCTCTTCGCGGCCATCAATCAAACGAACCAGCTGTTATTTCAACAGAACGCACGGATTGGCGCGCTAGAACGCGAGGTCCCGCTAAGGTCCCCTCCGCGGGAAGACCAGAACAGGAACTCAAGGAGTCCTTCGCCTCGTCCCAGGGATCGGCGACCCCGGCTGGAGAGGCCCCCAAACCGAAGTAGTACGGGAGCGGACTAGATCCCCAACGAGACAAGTTCGTGAGAGACGGCAAACCAGAGCAGAGCCCCCGACCAGACCTCGACGCGTCGAACCCCCTGTCAGGAGGTTGAGGGCCCGAAACCAGGTGCCTCCACCAAATGGCCCATCCCCCCCCCCCCCCCCTCGGTCGCCCACTCTCAGCGACGAAGACAACTACAAGACTCCTCTGTCCTGGGAAATCATGGCCGCCCCCATTCCCCACGGTATGGAGAAGCCCCCTGCGCTCTCGACATACGACGACACCTCCGACCCAGACGATCACCTGGAAGACATCGAGGCCATGCTCGACTACCGAAATGTCCGAGGAGCTATCAAATGCAGCCTATTCCCGACGACGCTGAGGAAAGGTGCCATGACGTGGTACAAAAGTCTGGAGCCATAATTAGTTACGTCATGGAAGGTTCTGAAAGACCTGTTTTCGAGACACTTCACAGCATCCCGACGCCATCCGAAGACGGAAGCCGCACTCGGCGCTATAATCCAAGCTCCCAACGAGCCCCTCCGGAAGTACATCGAAAGATTCACATGGGAGGCAGTACAGGTAACGACGTCAGACGAGATGAAGCGTTACTTAATGGAGCAAGGCCTGCGTCGCGACTCCAAGTTCTACGAGGCCGTGGGCATACACCAACCAGCCTCTCTACAGGACTTCCTCGACAGAGCCGCACATTATATCCGGTTCGAGGAAACCCAAGTAGCCAACTCCGCCCGAAACACGCGAGACAAGGAGACCCACCGCGGGCACCGAGAGGACGGAGCTTCAAGCCACCGGCGCGGAGGTGATCGTCGACGGGAGGATCGCCCCCGCGAACAACGTGAGCAGCACAGTCCCGCCGGCCGATTCATGGAGTATACGGCCCTAGTCGCTTCCCGCGAGCGCATACTGGCCGAATGCGCCAAGACAAAGTTTGTCTAGGGAGGTGTCCGCTTCCCCAGACCGACACCCCCAAGCCTAACGTGGACAAATCGAAGTACTGCCGTTTCCATAAGAGCCACAACATGTTACAAAAGACTGCATCCACCTCAAGAACGCGATCGAAATCCTGATTAAAGACGGCCACCTGAAGAGATACACCCGGGGAGGAGAAACCCTGAGGCAAGACGCTCCTGAGGCCAAGAGAGTCGAAGAGCTTCCCTCTTCAGACGGTGACAACGGCCTCCAGGTCGCCCTCTGCGTCAGCCGCCCTCAGGATTGGTTCACTCATAGAGAACCCGGCCTCCCCGACGACCCTGATCTTCTCGACGAGCCGGTGCGCCCCACCAGTCGATGGGAATACTTTCCAAGAGCCATGGTCATCTTCGGCGGATCCCCGAGGAACCTGTCCGTAGGATCGGTAAAAAGAAAGTTCGAAGAACTCATCACCAGCAACTCCGGTAAGATGAGCACTCTCGACAAATTTCGCGGTCGATCCAATCCGATCACCTTTTACC